CCTACTTGTGCACAAATTCGTGCATCAGGCCTCTAGTTATATAATATTGGCCTATTCCATCCTTTATAGATGGTATAACCACTTCATGTGTCAATATTTCCCAATTTTACTCTGATGTTCACAACTGACTTTATTTTAAAGGTAAAGAATTGCTATTGAAGTTCATGCCTTGGTAATTTCCAATGGTAAACTGAATGGTGTGTTAATAGAAGAAAAGAAATAAGAGCATGTCCTCTTAATTATGTTCCTAGGACAGCCACATGGGACATCCACAACAAGTATGATCCTATCCTAATAAGATAGAGACACATACATTATAGAACCAATTTTAGGTAAAATCTAGGACTGGTGAAGGTGGCAGAATAGGAAGGTGTAGTCAATTTCACCTTGCTGAATTCCCTTTCCAGAGAGATGAAGAGTCACAATGAGTTTTCTACTAAAGTTGTCTTTAATAAAGACAACTATAATATTTCCTATACATAAACATCCTAGTTTAGACAAGAGGCAGACCGCTGTGAGAGATGTGTGAAGACATATTTCAGTTTTATTATCTTTTAGGCATAGACGGGTGTGTTAATCCATTTCCACATACATTTCTTATAATCAAAGATTGGAAGTGAAACTTGAGCTGGCAAAACCTGTCTCCTGTTGCTGCAGAGTTAGTAGTAAACTGAAGAGACGCCACCTCGGAAGTTGAGGATTGTGCAAGATCCACCCTCCCAGCCTCGCTGTGCACATCTCTGACGTTACACAAATAAGCTTTCCTTTTCATCCGGGCATGGATTCAATAGTTCTAATGTTGCCTCCCGTTTCCCAGCAAACTTTCTGCTTCCAGTCCAGAGCTCTGTGCTGTGAATGTTCTGCTCTCCAGGTTCCGACACCTGTTCTCGAACTCAGTTAACCACAGCAAATGAAAGCCAAGAAATAACGGTAGCATAACCCTCTCTTTCTATCGTAGCATTGCTTCTTTCTGCAAATGTAGCCTAGGAGTTAAGACTTTGAACCTTCGATCTCCCACACCAAAAGAAAAAGTATTTCTATGAAAGAGATTTCATTTTAGTGTTCATGGTTTATTGTGGAAAGCAGGTGTTTACAATTTTTAGAACTTCTTTAACAAAATTCCAAAGAAAAGAGAAGACAGAGAAATCACAGTATTTACAGAGAGATGACAGAATGGCTTTGCCATGCAGAACACGTAACTTTGGTTTTTCCCCTTTCACTTTGGTTTAAATAGTGACCAAGATTCATTTCTCTTTTCCTGCCAAATAAAACTTCAATAAATGAAAGTTTAGAGGCAAAATAACATGTTTTCTCGCCCCTCCCATAATATTTTACACAGCTTTGAGTCTAATAAGATATTTTATGTATTTAATTCATACCAATGCACTACAGGAAGCTTTTATTAAACTGAGATACTATTGCCCAGATAGTAAGTGGTTTACAAATGTACAACAGCATGTGTTTCTAAATGATGCAAAAGTGGCAAAATATTATTCCTAATATCCATCTTCAACTTATTTTTCATTGGCTTCATAATTTTTATTCCATCAATCTAAAAAACAAACACCAGTTTTCCTCTCTCCCAAGAACACAGTTCTATACCTGGGAATCTGATGTTCATTTTCTTTTTCTATATAAAGTTATGTAAATCCTGGGACAAAAATGGCTGTGCAGTGTTCTCCCAGAATCTAGGCTTCTGCTTGAAAGAGCAAAGTTTAAAAGTCTAGTCACAAGTAGCTACTGGCCCATATCCAGTCTACTTCAAAAAGTTTCCATTTATACTACCACCCTATAAAGTTCCTCAAGCATAAAACACGCTTATAAAGTTACAAATTTGAATGTAACTAAAGATACATAGACATTTTATTATTACACTTTTATGTACTGCTTGATAAATTATGTACCAGTTAAAAACACTAAATTATCTCAAGGTGCATTCAATATCCATAGCATAGTTAACAAAAACACACACGAAAAAAATATATATTCTATATTCTGTGGAAAATAACACAGCTTTGATAATGACCACTGTTAAAAATCTCCAATTCTGACTGATATCTTTTTAAAAAGGAAATGGGCATAATTTTAAGGCAGTGGATAACCCAAAGGATTTAACACCAATTTTTAAATACAGTGATTTACACTCTGATCTATGAAAATGAAAATGTTATCCATGAATTTTCCAAACTGTCTCTCACACATTTTTTTCCTTTCTTCCGACAGAAAATAATTTACTAGCAGATGTCTCTAAAGTGCTACCCAAATTCTGTAATGTTATTTTTTTTCAGTATAGGCAAAATTGTTAGTTTGGGAGTACCGTTATTATGTATGTGCATCCATATGCATGTGAGATTTCCTTTTGAGAGCCAGCTGGTGGTGTGTACACAGAATCAGCTCATCCAGGGTTTAGCAATCTGACTCTGCGCCTCCCCCTCTCTGGCTAAAACCACGTTTTGGAATTGGACAATGTGCGTGTTCTCAGTCCTCACAAGCTGCCACCTTTGGGAGTTAGGGGCTTGTGAAAAAGTTTAGGGGCATTATTGATAGCAATCAGAATCAGAAATGTACCTGCTCAGATTATCCATATAAACAATCAAAATAAAAACATTACATTTTACATCAGATTAACAGCAACTCCCAGAACAAAGCTTACAGTGTATAAAAATAGCTACGTAAAAAATTTACATAAAAGGCAAACCAAAAGGAAATCCTCAGTGCAGACATTTACAGAAAAACAAAAACAAAAAAAAAAAACAAAAAAAACACACAACATATGACCTATCATCGTGGCTACCAAAACTTGTTATTGTTTGCAATTTCATTTCATTGTTTGACTTGAGATAATTCTCTAAGATCCTGTGACAGCTTGATAAAATGAACTGCTTAATATTTGAACCATGAATTGCTGTCAATGTCTTTGTATATGTCTTAAATACAATCCACGTTCATGCTTCAATTGGCCTATATAGTTTTTTTTCTCTGAAATAATGAAAAAAAGAACATAATTTAGTAAGTTACTGTAGCAAACATTTTTTATCGTCAGCAGATGCTTTGTACTAAAAGTGACAGGAATTACTTTATAGGAGACTTTCATAAAACTCCATTTTCCCTGAACCCATCTGTGATGCCAGGCATTGCTATGCCCCTTCTGCAAATAATTTTTTTGGAATAGTTGAGTGTCTTTATTTTTATGAAAATTGCTTAATTCATGTGAAGAGCATAAAGGTTTTCAGGAAAACATTTCATTCTGTTTAAAAAATCTACTTATCCCTTCAAATCACACTCTTTTGTGGGCTTTGTCTTCAAGTTCAATTTTCCTTTGAGGTTTTACTCTGTCCAATTTTGAAGATAACAGTAGGTAAAAATCTATGTTTATGAAAGATGGAGGAATAAATCCTAGAGAAGCAGAAAAAAAACACACCACGGGTGGAAATGCTGTCTATCTTGCTTCCAATAAAAGGCAAATAAGGGGAAAGAATCCAATCCAGTTCTTCTTTCTCCCAATCAGTCTGAGGTCCTGGTTTTCAGATTTTAATAGTGATTACCTTAATTATTCTATTTTTCCTTCCTGTGTGCATCTTCCCAATTACAATTCTTTCCAATGCCCCATATCTTCTCTATGGGATTAATTTGGGTGACATACTCAAATTGTGACTTATGTATAATGAAGCAAAGTTTTACTATGGTTGTTGGGGATTTTAACTTTTGAGAGTCAGCTACAGTAAGTTATTCTCACTCAAGGACACGCAAAATAATGTGCCCAAATGACTTACCTTAATAGAATCACACTCATATAAATTACATAAAATATATGCAATACACATAACAAGTGTATATATATTATACACAAATATATGTATATGTGCATATACAGACACATATATACATACACCTCCTATATAATAAAAGGGTACCGTATTTTCCGGAGTATAAGACGACTTTTGAACCGAAAAAAAGTCAACCGAAAACTGGGGGCAAAAGACCAAAATTGCACAAAAATTACCTGCAGATCTTGATGGCAAAGTAAGTCTTTTCTTTGAAGTGGGGGGTAGTCTTATACAGCGAATATAGGCCTACACCTATGTTTTAACTGTAAAATTAGGGGGTCGTCTTATATGCCGGAAAATACGGTAATATGCAAAGTGACCGAATGGTGGAACAACCAGTCACTATCACATGTACTGACCACCAGGGGGCAGATGTTCAATGCAAGAGCTGCCCCCTGTTGGTCAGTGCACTCTTGAAGTGGGAGCGCCACTTAGGCAGAAGCCAGGCTGACAGCAGGTGAGCTCAGCGATGGTGGTGGGAGCCTCTCCCACCTCAGGGGATGTCCATCTGATGGCTTAGGCCTGCTCTCCATGGGTAATAAAAGGCCCATGGGGAGCAGGCCTAAGCTGTCAGTCAGACATCCTTCAAGGGCTCCCAGACTGTGAAAGGGTTCAGGCTGGGCCAAGGGACCCGCAAAAGTGTGTGTGTGTATGTGTGTATACTCAAACTTGTTAGTCTTTTCATTAAAATGATTTGAGAGATGGCTGATACTTTTAATATCTTAAATCATTGGATTGAAATTTTTATATTTACAAATTATTCTCATAATTGTTTTTAAAAATAAATTTGAATTATTAGAATCAGTGCTCATCCAACCAAAACACAGTTTATAAAATTAAGCTTCTTTGCAATCAACAAAATTTTTGACATTAGAATACAAAATGCTAATTAAATGTTAAAATTTCAAAATTGATTTTAATTATTCAGAGGATAATGATTATTTGTTTGGAGGATATGGAAATGGTTGAGATTCCATTCTTTTGAGGACACCTGAATTATCAAAGCTTGTTTTTGAAAAGCTCTTTTCTTGTTTTAAAAGCCTCAATTATAAAACATCTTACTGTCAAGGCTTTCCCTTTCATCTCATAGGGTGTTTCATTCTTTACTAGGAATTATTTCTATAAACCTCACACAGCTTACTTACCTGGACAACAACAAGAACAGTTTCTCTCTTAGGCTTCTGTTTTGTGATTGTTTTCTTCTAACTTTTTATTTTCCTCTAGATTACCAAGGTCCTTGTTTACGTGTTTTGATGCGGTCCTGTAAAGGAATTAATTAAACATTATTACATTGACACACACATTTTCCTTTTATAAATTTAGGGTTCACATTAATGTATCTTTGAAAGCACATGTTTCACCTCTAATATAGGCAAACCACTAGAAAGAACAATTCCACATCTGTGAGTCCTGATTGGTAACAAGACCCATTCCAATGAAATGACTTTCACAGTTGGATTGTATTAAATATATGCTAAGAGAAACATAAATCTATTATTTTGAACACAGACTATACATACATAGCTGTATCATGGTTTTGGCTGGGTTTTCTCTCCACTTTCTGGAAAGTAATTATTATCACTTTTTAGTCAAAATTTTCATTCTGTGGAAATAGTTTCTGGCAAAAGTTTTCTGAGAGAGTTTCATTAAGGTCTTTCCCTTTATAGCATCTATTTTTATGCCTCCAGATAGAGCTAATTCCCAGTAGCTTTGTTTTTGGATTTTTGTTTTACTGGATAAATAAAATACAAGATTAGAAAGAGACTGAGATTTATGACAGGAGATTGGCAGCAGCAGAAGCTACAGCAGCTCTACTGTGGTGGTTCTCAAATAGTGGCCTCAGATGAACAACAGGATTATGAAAACAGAAAATGCAGATGGGGCATGCAATCTATGATAAGCAAGAGCTAGTGGTTCAACTGCAAGCTTAAGTTTGAGAACCGCTGCCCTAGTGATTGCCATGGTTACATATGATTGACTAAGTCCCATCCTTTAAGCACTGAAACCAGGTTTTCTTAAACCCAGGGCCAAATTCTTTGGTTTTGTGATCACTCAGGAGAAGTCATCACTATATCTAAGAGTGCATCATTTCCTTCTTTCCTGTTTCATTCCTTCCCTCCATCCCTTTTTTCTTTCCCTAACTCCTTCACTCCCTGTTGTAAGTACATCAGGGGAACCGCAGTGATATGGAACTTCAAATTATTATTGCCATATAATTCCTAGTAATTCTTCTACTTTTAAGAAATTATGTAATACTAGATGTATCTCTTGGTTATGGAATCTGGGGTAGAAAACTCCCCTGTCCCTCGAAGTATTTCTATTCTTTAATTAAAAATTTTGAACTCATTTGCTAAGAATCACAATTTTACCAGAAAAAGTCTTATAATAGTGTATGATATTGGTTCAATTGAGATTAAGACATACAGCTCATTCAAACTGGAAATTCATTATATTTAGTATAATTTTAATTTGTGATTTAAAAATCATTAATTTAGCTTAAATTATAGCCTTCTAAATCTATGCATAAAGGCAGGAGAGCAATCTCAAACTCTGTCATCATGATTAAGTCCTATATGTGATAGCATTTTACTAGAATGTATTGAAAAATGTAAATGAGACCATGTTGTAAGTTTGAGTCTATATCTTTAGATATATATCACATAAATATATTCTACCTTGTACTAAAATGGTACATTATGCCAAAACCGGTTTGGCTCAGTGGTAAAGCGTCGGTCTGCGGACTGAAAGGTTCCGGGTTCGATTCCGGTCAAGGGCATGTACATTGGATGCGGGCACATCCCCGGTGGGGGGTGTGCAGAAGGCAGCTGGTCGATGTTTCTCTCTCATCGACATTTCTAGGTATCTCTCTCCCTTCCTCCCTGTACAGGATCAATAAAAAAAAAATGGTACATTATACTGAATGACAACTTCTTTATCATATATATTTTCCAGATAAAATAAAAGAATAATGTGTATATAATAATGTGTGTGTGTGTGTGTGTGTGTGTGTGTGTGTGTGTGTGTATCATCTACATTATATAATATACTACTGTGTTTCCCTGAAAATAAGACATCCCCTGAAAATAAGACCTAGCGCATCTTTGGGATCAAAAATTAATATAAGACGCTGTCTTATTTTCGGGGAAACAGGGTATGTAGTATAGATTGTAGGTGATTTGAAGTCTATTCTCTTTTGCTAACACATTGTTTAACTAATGCCTAATAAAATCTTAGTAACCTCAACAGTAAAATATGAGGGGTGGTGATTTAAGATGCTCTCTAAGACTTATTTTAAGGCCTAGACTTTCTATAAATCTACAAATCCTTTAAGATTTGTTTTGTTGAAGAGTTATACACATATAAAATAATGTATCAATAATAAAAGTAAAATTCAATAAATTTTCAAAAACTGCATGCATGAATGCAACCTGTACCCAACTCAAGAAATAGAACAGTTGCAGACCCTGAAGTACATGATGCTCCTTCCACTCACTATTGCCTCCCAAAACCTACCATAGTCCTAAGTTCTCACAGAATAGTTTTAGCTGTTCTTGTAATGTGAATATAAATGGAATCACACTCATGTATTCAGTTTTCTCTGCCTTTTATTTAAACACAACCCATGTTTGTGACATTCACATATAATGTTGTATGTAGTGTAGGTTTTGATTCTCATGCCTATATAGTTTGTCACTGGTTAAATAAATCATAATTTATTTATATATTTTACTAGTGGTGGGAATTTTTGCTTTTTGTTCTTTTTTGGGATTTCACTTAAATTAGATCTTTTGTGTTGTCCCACATCTCTTATTTTATTGTGTGTCTTATCTATTTTTTTTCCTTTCTGTGCTTCAATCTGGGTGATTTCCATTGATCTGTATGCTAGCTTGCTTCTCTTGTGTTCCGCTGTAACCAATCTGTTTTTAAATTCATCCACCCAAGACTTATTTTTTTTTAATATATATTTTCAGGTCTAAAGTGCCAATTTGATTTTGAAATACATTTAAATTCTCTATCCCATGAATCTACAATGACCATATTTTCTTCCACTTTCAAGATATTATTTAGAATTATTTTAATATCCTTGTCTGTTAACTATAGTACCAAAATCATGCATGAATCTGTTTGTCTATCTTTTCTTTTGATTTTTGATTGTGTATTTTTTACTCTTGGTATATATAGAATATTTTGTATGACACCATGTATAAATAAACTGTAGAGACTGCAAACAATGTTCTTTTCCATGAAATAAGGTCCCTCTTTCCGTTGTTAAGCGGGCAGGGTGAGGGGCTGATAATTCCATTGCAATCAGGGCTTAAGTTAGGCTGAGGCTCAGCTGCAGTTTTAGAGAAACCCAGTGTTCCTCTGGTTTGCCCTTTTCCCTAAGGCAGTGGTCAGCAAACTGTGGCTTGCGAGCCACATGCAGCTCTTTGGCCCCTTGAGTGTGGCTCTTCCACAAAATACCACAGCCTGGGCGAGTTTTGAAGAAGTGGCATTAGAAGTTTAAGTTTAAAAAATCTGGCTCTCAAAAGAAATGTCAAATGTTATACTGTTGAAATTTGGCTCTGTTGACTGAATTTGCCAACCACTGTGCTAAGGCATGACCCTCCAAGGCTTCTGATTGAGATTCTGGCAAGTTCCACTTTATCCAACACTTAAATATAGAGATCCATCTCTTTGGAGAGTTTCCATCCATACCTACAGCCATCTATCTCATGACACTTCAAAATATGGGCACACTCTTCTTGACTTGAGTATAGTTCCTTGAAAGTAAGGACCATGTTTTACTTCTATTTACCCATAATATACAATATACTGAAATGGTAGGCAGCCAGAAGGTATTTCTTTTGATGAAATGAACTAACTGACTTCACTGTATATGTGTTTTTTCTTTACCATGATATTCTTTAAATAATATGTATATAATTTTTTGATCTTTTACAGAGAGGAAGGTAGAAGGATAGAGAGCTAAAAACATCAATGAGAGAGAAACATTGATCAGCTGCTTCCTGCACACCCCCTACTATGGATGTGCCTGCAACCGAGGTACATGCCCTTCACCGGAATCAAACCTGGGACCCTTCAGTCCACAGGCTGACGCTCTATCCACTGAGCCAAATCTGTTAGGGCCCATGATATTCTTAATAAAATTTTCTTTTTTCTAGCTTTATTGTAAGAATATAGTATATAATACATGTAACACACAAAATATGTAATTGGTTGTTTATATTCATATCTATTTCCTTCTACTGTTCCTTATATTAGTATTCACCAACACAAAGTTCTCATACCCAGCCATTATCAGACAAGTAAAATATAGAGAATACTACCTAGAATGACAGAACTTGCGTGATTTTTTTCAAGATAAAACCATTTTTTTCTGGTAAAACTGCACAAAATCATATACATACATACATATATACATACATACATACATATGTACCTTGATTATTCTAATAGAGTGTTATAAGCTATGAGTTGTTATTATAATCTCAAGAACAACCACAATAAAAGAATACAAAGAGGTAGGGTTAAAAGACCAGTAGAGTAATTAAAATGCAACACTAAAATTTATTTGAGTACCAGAAAGCAGGAAAAGAGGACCAGAGAACAATTAAGAAAACAAAGAGGAAGATAATGGTCTTAATTATATCAATAGTTAAGTCAAGTGTAACTTGGCTAAAATATCCAATTAAAAGCTAGAGATTGTCCTACTATACTATGTAAGACAAGAAAATGCTGGAGAGAAGGGGTTAAATTATTTTTCTGAAAGGTCCAGAAAGCAAATATTTTAGGCTTGCATGGCTCTTGGTCCAACTCTTTAACTCTGGCAGTATAGTATGAAACAACCAACAATGGCCGTGCTCCCATAAAACCTGATTTACAAAATGTGGCAGCAGCCTGGAGTTATGATTTGATCAGCCTTACTGTATACGAATGCACTATATCTATCTATCTATCTATCTATCTATCTATCTATCTATCTATCTATCTATCTATATATCCCTAATATGCAAATAGACTGAAGAGCTGGTTGCTACGACATATGCTGACCACCAGAGAGCACGTGTGGGACATGGTGGGCGTCAGCGGCAGATGGCAGAGCTTGGAACATGGTGGGCATCAGCTGTGGCAGGATGGTGGAGTAGGTGAAGGGGAGTGCCAGACCAAGGCAGGAAGTCAGTCACTATAATCATAGCAAGCCTCTGGTGGTTACTGAAAATTCTTTACTCCTATACACTGTGGTCCCACCAGGCACTT